TGTTAGAGGGTGCGTCATCCCTGCTCCCCTCCCCTGACCTCCTGCCTCACCTGTATGAAGCAGGGACGTGTCAGTGTGCACCTTTCATCACGCTTGGATTCATTGATCCCTAGATCTTTAACTGATGTCAGAGTTCAACTTCACTTCTTTCAACCAAACTTCCCCAATTTTGTAGTTCTTGCTTTCAAGCATCACAAATATACGTCTGTGTTTATAGATTTATATATACAGTCATGTGTCACATAATGACATTTTGGTCAACAGCAGTCTGCATATCATAATGGTCCTGTAAGATGAATGGAGGTGGGTGCCGGCGCTGGAGTGCAGTGGGTTAACCCCCTGGCCTGAAGTGCTGGCATTCCATATGGGTGCCGGTTCTAGTCCCGGCTGCTCCTCTTCCTATCCAGCTTTCTACTATGGCCTGGGAAAGCAGTACAAGATGGCCCAAGTCCTTAGGTCCATGAACCACGTGGGAGACCTGGAAGAAGTTCCTGGCTCCTGGCTTCGGATCGATGCAGCTCTGGCCGTTGCAGCCATCTGGGGAGTGAACCATCGTATGGAAGACCCCCCTCTCTCTCTGCCTCTCCTCTTTCTGTGTAACTCTGAATTTCAAATAAATAAATAAATATTTTAAAAAAGATGAATGGAGATGAAAAATTCCTATTGCTTAGTGATGTCACAGCCACTGAAAAATTCCTATTGCCTGGTGATGTCATAGCCATTGTGATGTCATAGGGCAGCACATTACTCTTGTTTGTGGTGATGTTGGTGTAAACAAACCTACTGCACTGGCAGTCATATGAAAGCATACCAATACAATTATGTCTTAGTATTTGATAATGATTGTAAATGACTTATGCATTATGTACTCCCTTCTTCTTACAAAAGGAGTGAACTGTAGAGCAATTGCTGTGTTATGCCAGCAGTGGCTGAAGTAACTTGTGTTTATTGAGTCTCTTGATTGCCTCCAGAGGGCACATGAGATGACTCACTTCCATGACCTAGGTTTGTGCAGGTACCTTCCATTTTATCACCTAGCGATGAAATCAGCTAGCAATGCATTTCTTACAGTGTTCTGCATTGTTAAACAATGCAGGGCTCTTTATGTCTATATCACATTGTTTATATGTATTATATATATATGTAGACATAGTAAATATATAAAACATTAGCTACATATTTAAATAATATTGGAGGAAAGACACTTGAGTGGTGTATTTCTTGATCCTTGACTGATTTTCTGTTTCTATGGTCTTTACCACATGAAGGTATGAATTAAACATGTTGGACTCATGAGCTTCTTCCCTTGATGCTGTGTAGTCACTACTTAATCATCTTAGAGCACGTGTTATTGCAGGGGAGAAATGCGTGGTTAGAACATGTGTTTCTTCCTTTGTATTTCTTTCCCCAGGTCAAGTACTTGCAGTGTTTTTCTTTTAGTTTAACTTAACAAATACATATTAAGCATCTACTGGTGTCAGACATGTTTCTAGGACATGAGCCCCTAAATAATAACAGTGAAAATGATAACTTAGGCTTTCCTAGTGCTTAGAGTCAATTGTAAATGACTGTTAGTTAACTAAAAGTATTATGAACATTATTAAAATTCAGAGGGCAATCATGGACATACAGCTACGATAATTTAATCCAGCTAAAGAAGAAAGATTTTCCTGAGAAAGTGAAACCTCAAAAGAGGAAGTCAATATTGCCTAGGTTGAGAGATAGGAAGTAGGGGTGGGGGAAGGAGAATATGTAGACAGTGGGAACATATATGCCAATGCAAAGAGCTGGGAAGCCAGTGCCACACCTTGGAGCACGGAGAATATTACACAAAATGGAGATTGATGCTTACAGTATGCAGGAAGGTGGGTTCTATGAGATTATTTGAGTTTTAAGATACTACTCTAAAAGATGAGCCCAAGTTGTATATAAAGATAATTGAAAATGAATCTTGATGAAGAATGGGATGGGAGAGGTAGTGGGAGATGGGATGGTTGCGGATGGGAGGGAGGTTATGGGGGGGAAAGCTGCTATAATCCAAAAGTTGTTCTTTGGAAATTTATATTTATTAAATAAAAGTTAAAAAAAAATATGAACCCAAGTGAAGAGTTGATGGTATGTAACACCATCAACTTTCTGTTTTAGAAAGAGCTCTCTGCTTGCAGAATGAGTATATTTGGGGAAGGGGCACCAGATATGTTGCTAGTAGGCCAGATTGGAGGCTTCTGCAGGAGCCTAAATGAAAGAAAATTGTGGCTTAGATTAAGGTGACGAGGTGGGGATGGACAACAGGCAGATGTGGAAAATACCTAGCATGTTAAATCTATAGGGCTAGGTCTTTCTGTTTGTCTGTCTGTCTGTCTCGCTCTCTTTCTCTTTTTCTCTCTTTCTTTTTTGACAGGCAGAGTTAGACAGTGACACAGAGAGACAGAGAGAAAGGTCTTCCTTTTCCGTTGGTTCACCCCCCAAATGGCCGCTGCGGCCAGCGCTGCGCCAATCCAAAGCCAGGAGCCAGGTGCTTCCTCCTGGTTTCCCTTGTGGGTGCAGAGCCCAAGGACCTGGACCATCCTCCACTGCCTTCCTGGGCCACAGCAGAGAGCGGGACTGGAAGAGGAGCAACTGGGACTAGAACCCAGGGTGCCAGCGCCACAGGCAGAAGATTAGCCAAGTGAGCCGTGGGAGCAAGTTTAGGAGAGGAAGTGAAGGAAATTTTATGAGCTTAGTGAAAGGATTGAGCTGGAGATATGGCTTTGGAAATTATTGGCATATCAATGGGAATGGAAGCGCAGGCAGAAGGTGGAGTTGCAGACAAAAACTTAGAGCCTGGAAGATTGTCTATTAAAGTTGGAGGGAAAAAAAGAGAGATCCAGGAATGTAGAATGAATAAAAGTACTTAGGAAAGCTGGGAGGGAAATGAAGAAGTTTGGTGTCCGTGAAACCAAGGAAAAGGGTCTTTCTCAAAAAGATTAATTGGGCTGGCTCTGTGGCATAGCCAGTAAAGCCACCTCCTGCAGTGCTGGCATCCCATATGGGCGCCGGTTCAAGTCCTGGCTGCTCCGCTTCTGATCCAGCTCTCTGCTATGGCCTGGGAAAGCAGTAGAAAACGACCCAAATCCTTAGGCCCCTGCACCCGCAGGGAAGACCCGGAAGAAACTCCTGGCTCCTGGCTTCAGATTGGCACAGCTCCGGCCATTGCAGCCAACTGGGGAGTGAACCAATGGATGGAAGACCTCTCTCTCTCTCTCTCTCTCTCTCTCTCTCTCTGCCTCTCCTCCTCTCTCTGTGTAATTCTGACTTTCAAGTAAATAAATAAAAATGTTGTGACAAATCAAACAAGAGTTGGAAAGTGTCCCTTAGGTTGCCAGGAGGCTGTGATTTTTTTCTTGATAATAGAATTTTTGCTGGGGTAGGTTGGTTGAGGACACACTGGGTGGTAGATAAAGATAATGAGAAGAGGCAGCGCTTGACTTCTGGGGGGATGACTCTGAAAGATGTTTTTCAGGCCTTTATTTTTCTTTGAAAGTTTAGCCATTATTTGCTTTGGAAAGGATGTGTAATTGTTTTTTGCTTGAAATGTGGCTGGCTATCTCATGCCAGAAATTTAAAGATGCTTAGTTTGTATGCATTTTGATCCATTCGCTCTGTCCTTTCCTGAAGAAACATCCACGCATTTGTTGATTGTTTCTGATCTATCCAACTTAGCTTCTGGCTCCTCAAATATTTTCATTTAGTATCGCTTTAATTGATTTTTTAAAATTCTGTTGATGTGTCTCAAATTATGTCCGCATGATTTAATCGGTTTTTGGCAGCATTAAGTCTTTCCTTTACCGTTTTCTATATGGCTGTTTTATTAATTATAATTGTAATGGAATTGATGGCTCATGTCAGATTGTTCTCATTTCATAGAAAGTACATCCTGTGCAAGGAATGTGTTATGAAGTATTCTTTTCATGAGGTTTAGTAAAAGATTTTTTATCCAGTAGTCTAAACACAAGATTGTGTGCTGGAATTGTTGTATACTTGTTATACCCTTAGTTTTTAAATAACCATTGTCTATTTTTGAAAATAATTTATTGAAGGAGCTGGAGCATGGTTTCTTGCATTGAATAGTCCGCGGTGATGGTGAGCTCCATTGAGCTGTATCTCTGATGGTGAGAGTTGTAATGGAAGGGTGAAGAATGCCTTTCTCTGATGCGATTTTTTACCGTGAAAAGCTCATAAATTTCATGGGACAAATGTCATTTGTTATTGAACAGGAGGTGGCTGTGATATAGAGGCTGAAAGAGGAAGCTGGAAAAGAAGGGCAGAGAAAGAAAAATACGGACGAGGGCTCTTTTCATCAGTGCTGTAACACTGTTCCATTTTCCTCGGATTCTGGGCTGCAGTTACAGCCACTCTGGTAGGCGAAGGACCCTGGTCACAGCCCACTCTGCAGATCAAGAAGGATTTCCTGGAAATAAAGAACTTAATTTTAAAGAGTCATTTATCATTTTTATGTATGTGTAATTTTTTTAAAGGAAACAAATACAAAACAAATCTCTCTGTATGAGAATTGATAAGTGTAATCTAGTTACTGAGTTTCCAGTATTAAATATTGATATATATGTCATTTCCCCCATTTTCAAGTTAATCCAGAAGGTTTTTAATGTGGAAAACTATGACTTATGCTTACCACATTTTTCAGTTATTTGATATGATTCGTTTAGGTTAGACAAAACTCTTCTAGGATAGAAATGTCTTCAAAGCTCATTTATTTTTTACAATCCCACCTAATGTTTTGACTTTTTCTTCTTTTTATTACTATTGTGTTCCTTTGAGGTTAAGATATGTAGATCTTGGAAATATCTTATTCTAGTAGAGGTCAGATCATGAATATCCCAACTAAATGATCTTTCATTATAAAGGAATTCATAGCAAAACCCTTAGTGTCTTACTTAGCACTTCACTCCTCTCTTGTGAACTTCAGAAAGTTTTTATGGCCTTTATTGATTTCTTACCAGAGCATCTCCAGGTGGACTGAGCCTTTGTAGCCACGGCAAGGAGCAAGAAGAGTGACTGACTGTGGCGACAACAGCTGACATCACCCGGCAGTATTCAGGGACTGCCAGAGAGGTCATTTCAGCTTCTCACTATTTGATATTTTCTTCACACAACACAGCTTCTAAGCAAGAGCGGTAAGTCAACATGGGTGATTTCATTCTTGCAGAATTTAAGTATACAGATGGGAAATGTTCTCTCAAACACAACATACTAAGGTTCTCCTAAACATATAGGCTCATCATATCCCTTTGTTTAGTCACAACGGAGCATATAATATTTTTTTAAAAAAGATTTATTTATTATTTTAAAGGCACAGTTACAGAGAGGCAGAGGCAGAGAGAGACAGAGAGGTCTTCCATCTGCTGGTACTCTCCAAATGGTCACAATGGCCAGTGCTGGGCCAATCTGAAGCAAGGAGCCAGGAGCTTCTTCTGGGTCTCCCACGTGGGTGCAGGGGCCCAAGCACTTGGGCCATCTTCCACTGCTTTCTCAGACCATAGCAGAGAGCTGGATTGGAAGTGGAGCAGCCAGGACAAACCAGCGCCTATATGGGATGCTGGCACTGCAGATGGTGGCTTTACCTGTTATGGCACAATGCCGGTCCCAGGAGCTTATATTCTGTTAGCTGCAGAAACTCCTCCTGAATTCTACCACACTTTCTCTTTTTCATCTTTTGTCTTCATTTCCGTTTACATTTTTTATCTGATCCATAGGCTCAAATGTTTTTTTTGAGACATTTTTTAAAAACTGGGACATTTGTCTAATTTTGGTTTAGGAATTCTCTGTCAGATTTTGCAACATTCTAATGATACCATACATTCATCGCCATATGCAGAACCTTACACTGAGTCTATGTTCCACTTGTAATATTTGATGTGACACAAATATCTTTCTATTTTGCACACTGTTTCTCAATATTGATCCATATGGCCCATCAGACACTACATTGATTTTTATTTTCTGTCTGAACCTTCTTGAATACACAGTAATATATCAAGATCCAGTGTTGAAGAACAATTCATATTGTCCTAAGTCCTAAGGCATACAGCTGTTACTGGTACATAGAAACCGTTTAACAAAATTTCCCTAAGGTGAAAAATCTAGGTAGGGTCAAAGGCCTTTGTAAATAGAGTTGTAGTTTAGCAAATGAGGAACCATGAGCCCAGGGATGATTGTATAATTATTGAAGTCCTAACTCACAGCTGGCCGCAAGAAGACCAAGCACGAGAATCCCAGAGCCCTCTCTCCCCTCCTTTAACTGCCAAATGCAGACATGGCCATGGATATTTCCACTGCTGTCAAAGATAGTGCAAATATTAGACCCTTTATTCTGCCGGCATTATAGAGTGTCTGTTATGAGGTAGGGTACCTGGCTAGTTCTTGTGCATCTCGGAAGTGACCCAACATGCACAGTACCCACAGGAATTTTACCATCCTGTGAGTGACTGGGGATTAGGACAAAAAAATCAGATATGCCCACAAATGGTTAGGACACATAGTATAGTAAGAGCACTTCTGTAGGTCCTGTTTAAAATGCTATGGAATATATGATGTTCAGAGCAGCATTATTCATGATAGCCACAGAATGGAAGCAACTCATATGTCCTCAACTGATGAATGGAACAAAATATGGTAAATCCATCCAGTGAGAATTACTTGGCAGTAAAGAGGAGTGAAGTACTAGCACAAGGTACAGCATAAATGAGTTTAAGAGAAGTGAGCTGGAGATAGTGACAACCTGAGGTGTTACCATCCAAGAAGCCTTTATGGGAATATAGAGAGGTGGTTGTATACATGGAGCTTCCTTCTGTAGAGGGGTAGCAGTAGCACCCTTGGATGGAGAGACCCCAAATGATAACTGCCCTGATTCATTCTCCTTCTACCCTCCAATGTCTGCCAATCCCTTTTACTTGTTGGCTACACCCAACAAGAAGCCAGAGGCAAGAGAGCTCATTGATGTAATCCACATGATTCAATCGGATGGGGCAGAGAAAGGCATGGAAGGTAGATCCACAGGGCCAGATGGAAGGCATTCACCAACGATGTAGAGGAGTAAAGAAAATGGCATGTGAAATGAAAATGGAGTGGCCAAGGGCACACTGAACCATTGCACCACCATGGCACCCTGATTCTTACTCTTCCCAGCTTCATGCCCTGACGCTGTTTTATGTCTGGTAAACTTGAAAGGTTTCCTTAAGACGCTTTTCCCAGTGAATTCTGAATCCCTACAGACTCTCACTTCCATAATTCTGCATGAGGTTCATGTTTCCCCTCATTGCTGATCCCAGAGAAGCCAAGCCTTCCAAGTCAGTCCAGGAACCTCAAGACCTTCTTCAGGAACCGATGCTTATATAATAAGAGCAAATGAGCTCCCGGTTCTGAGGAGGAGTTAGAAACCACTCTTCCTGAGACAGCTGAGGGAAGGAGGAAGGAGTGCAAGCAAGTGATTGTAGGGATCCATCATGTCTACCACCAGGGAGCAGATGCACCAATTTTAAGGACGTACAGAAAAGAGATTTTGCTGGTGTCTTTGAACAGAGGAGGGAAAAATGGCAACTTGGAAGAGAAACTGAGTTTTTGGTTTGCTTATCCCTTTCTTCTAAAGTTGCTTTCCAGTCAAGAAAAGCACGCAAAACCCAGTACACTCTCTGTCTGAGAAATGAACAGTTAGGCATTGAGGTGTTCTTGACTGACCTTGGTAAATTTCTTGTCTTATGGGCTGTCTCCATGATAGCTGTAGTCTAAGAAGTTATGTCTTCCCTTATACCAGAATAGATTTAATCCAGAAACATGGACCAATATGAAGAAGGCTTTCAAAGGCTAATACACAGGACAGATACCAAGTTTGTTTATAATAATAAACAAGGTTGGGGAGCTAGAGCATTTACCAAAGCTTGATTAGGCCATTCTATTTGTATGGAAAAACTTTATGGAAGCCAAATCATAATCATAAGGTTGCTGGGAGATAAAATAAAGTGTAGGTGGTTGTATGGTTGAAAGTTCAGACCCACAGCAGAGATAGGCCTGCCAGATGAAAAAACCTATTTGCAATGGTTAAAAGGACAGCTGTTTCTTAGATGACACTTAGATGGCAAATTCCAATGTTGCCCTGTGACTTTCTTTCTTTCAATCCTGAACAATATTTCTTTTGAGTGGTAATAATTAGTTCTCTCATCCATCCATACATACAACTATCTTTTCATCCATTCTGCATAAAGTTAGGTTAAGTTCTAGTGGTAGGGCCTGGGAGCCACCTTAGATCTTTAACTCAAATCCATGTCTTGTTTTTTTACAGTTTTACTCTCACAAGACAATTATCAGTTTCTCTGGGTAATTGTTCTTTTGGATAATTGAGGGATGAGATACTGTGATTGAAGATATGTTGAAAATAGGGGGAGGAATGGATATAAACCAAGGACTCAGTTCAAAGACTACAGAGTAATGATACTAATACCTCTCAGGATCCAGTATCTGCTGCTGAGGTTAGGATAGGAAAGAATCCCATCCTTTAAGAAAGATGTAAGCGAACATTTAAAAGAATGGACTTTGGTGAAATTCTTTATTCCTTTGAACTGTCTCAAAATTTACACTATCTCCAAATTTGTCTGTTGTATAATTTTAAGTATTTATACATATGGTGATGACTTCTGGGCTGTCTGGAATAATGTTTTCTAAGTGTTCTGAAAATATTTAGAGGGGCCAGCGTTGTGGCATAATGGATTAAGCCACTGCCTGCAGTGCCAAAATCCCATATGGGTGCTGGTTTGAGTCCTGGCTGCACTGCTTCTGATCCAGCTCCTTGCTAAACTGCCTGGGAAAGCAGTGGAAGATAGCCCAAGTGCTTCGGCCCCTGCACCGATGTGGGAGATCCAGAGGTGGCTCCTGGCTCCTGGCTTTGGCCTGTGCCAGCCCCAGGTGTTGCAGCCATTTGGGGAGTGAACTAGCACGTGGAAGATCTGTCTCCCCACCTCTCTCTGTAACTCTGTCTTTCAGAAAAGTAAATAAATATTAAAAAAAGAAATATTTGAGTTAAATAAAGTAACTATATGCTCTAGGTCAGGGGTCAGCAGACTATGGATCCAGCCTGCTGACTACTTTTGTGAAGTTTTGTTGGAACACAACCACATACATCTAATTTAATGTTGTGTGTGGCTGTTTTAATGCTAAAGTGGTAGAATTGAGTGATTGCAACAGTGAATGTGTGGCCTACAAAGACAAAGCTGTTTACCATCTCTCCCCTTGCAGAAAAGATCTGCTGAACACAAGCTTCTACTTTGTTTACATACTGCTGCCTCCAACAGCTGAGTTGAGTTTTATGTTGACAGTTCATCCAGTTGAATTGTAGACTTCCTTTGATGGTATGGGTGATCATTCACCATACCTGCTCCCACTGTGGGTGGAATGCGTTTATCTTCATCATTGCAGTTGGCTTGGCCATATGTCTTGCTTTGGCCAAAAGAAGCCTAACCCTCTAGTTGCAGAAAGATGCTTTGATTCCTTTCTCTTTTGTGTGTCTACTCTACATTTCTGATCCATGGTTACCATGGAGCTCACATAAAATATCTTAAAACAGCTTATTTTAAGCTGACAACAACTTTGCATAAAACTGTACACATTTTTAAAAAATGAATTAATTTTTGGAAAAATTACATTCATTGTATTTTAAAGACACAGAGGTAGACAGATAGACACACACAGAGATAAAGAGAGAGAGAGAGAGAGAGAGAGAGAGAGAGAGAGAGAGAGGGAGGGAGGGAGGGAGAGAGAAAAAAAGAGAGGGAGGGGAGAGAGGGAGAGGGAGAGGGATGGAATCTTCTATCTACTGGTTTACTCCTCAAATGCCCACAACATTTGGGGCTGGACCAATGCCAGTAGCCTGGAACTTCATCCTTGTCTCTCACATGTGTGGCATGGATCCAAATACTTGAGCCATAATCTACTGCCTTCTAGGGTGTGCCTTAACAGGAAGAAGGATCAGAAGTGGAGTAGCCAAGACTCAAACCAGCCACTCCAATATGGAATGTGGGTCTCCTCTGCACCATTCACCTACCCAAGATTCTACACTTACATTTCCTCTTCCATTATATGTTTTTATGTCATCATAAATCTATTTTATATTGTGTATACATTAAAAATTATTATTAACTATTATTTTTAAATTGTCTTTTAACCTTGAAACTAGAGTTATAACTGATTTATATATCACCATTGTAGTATTCAAGTATTCTGCATTTGAATTTATACTCAAACTTACCAGTAAGTTTTCTATTTTTATGTTATTAATTAGCATTTTTGTTTTAGCTTAAAGAACTGTCTTTAGTATGTCTTGCAAGGGAAGTCTAGTGGTGATGTACTTCTTCAGATTTTCTTTGTCCTGGGATATCTTTATATTTTTGAAGTGAAAGCTTTTCTGAGTATGATATTCTTGTTTGGTAGTTTTTTTTTCTTCCAGCACATTGGATCTGTTTCTCACTTTCTCTTGGTCCTAAGTTTCTGCTGGGAAATTCATTGATAGCCTTATGAAAGTTCCCTTGTATATGAGAAATCTCTTTTCTCTTGCTCCTTTCAAAACTATAAATGGTTCCTTTCAGTAGTTCATCTTACGATTTTTCACCTTTATGATAGTATAAAAGTGGCATGCATTCAATAGAAACTATATTTTGAGTTTTGATCTTTTCAAGGATAGCAATAGGTAGCATGAGACTGTCTCACAAAGCAGTGTCAGTGAACCATAGCTCCCATTCAGCCACATGATGATGAAGGTAAACTACTGATATACTACAGTGTCTGTATTGCTAGGCTATAGTGTTCAATGGTTTGGTGTATTAAATATGTTTTTGAATTATTAAATTTTTAATTTATGATGGGCTTATTGGGATGTAATCCCAATGTAAGTTAAGGAGCATCTGTATAATATTTTCTCTGATTTCACCTAATTGGAAACTTTTGAGTTCCATGTATCTGGATATCCACATCTCTCCCCAGATTTGGGGAGTTTTCAGCCATTATTTTTTTTTAAATAACATTCTGCCCCTTTCTCCGTATCTTCTCCTCCTGAGACCCCTATAATGCAAATTCTAGCTCTTTTAATGGTGCCTCATAAACTCCATAGTGTTTCATCACTGTTCTTTCTTTTTTACTCTCTAACTGGATATGTTCAGATAACCTGTCTTCACATCCATTGATGTTTTTCTTCTGCCTAGTCAAGTCTGCCACTGGTACACTCTATTGCATTTTTCATTTCATTCATTGTATTCTTCAATTCCAGAATTTGGTTCATTTTTGTGATTTCTCTTTATTACACTTCTTGTTTTTTTTTCCACGTATTTAAAAAAATTGAGTTGTCTAATGTATTTTTAAAGATTTATTTATTTATTTTTATTTATTTGAAAGTCAGAGTTACACAGAGAGAGGAGAGGCAGAGAGAGAGAGAGAGAGAGGTCTTCCATCTGATGGTTCACTCCCCAATTGGCTGCTATGGCCGAAGCTGCGCGGATCTGAAGCCAGGTGCCAGGAGCTTCTTCCAGGTCTCCCACGTGGGTGCAGGGGCCCAAGGGCTTGGGCCATCTTCTACTGCTTTCCCAGGCCATAGCAGAGAGCTGGATAGGAAGTGAAGCAGCTGGGACTAGAACCTGTGCCCATATGGGATGCTGGTGCTTCAGGCTAGGGTGTTAACCTGCTGCGCCACAGTGCTGACCCCAGTATAATGTATTTTCTTATAGCTTGCTGAACCTCCTTAAGACAATCATTTTGAATGCTTTTCAGAAAATTTATAAATACCCTTATCTTTGGGGTTGGTTATTAGAATACTATTGTGTTCTTTCGATGGTGTTTTGTTTCTTTGATTTTTTCATATTCCTTGACATTTTGTGCTATTATCTTCACCTTCAAAATAACAATCACTTCTTATGTCTTTATTGACTGTCTTTGGGAAAGAAATGCCATCGTTAAATAATCCATCTGGGAATTCCGAGGTGCTCTCAGATTGTTTTTAAGGATATATATACTTTATATCTGTTGTTTCCTATTGGGGAGTTGCTTAAGGTTGTATGTCTTTTCTTGAAAAGCAGGCTAGATGCCAATCGTTTTCCATTTATTTTCCCTTGGATGGTGTCATGAAACACTCAAGTTGAACACCTTCTTCTGATCTCACAAAGCTTAACTGGGTGTTTGTGAAGATGCTTACATTTTCTGTACACAGAGATGGATTTGGGAGACTCACCTGGGGTCTTGGAGTTGAGGCATTAGGAGTATTTGGAGTGCCCTGAACCAAATTGGGAAAGGTCTACAAGTTAGTCATGTAACATGGCTCCAGGATGGAGTTCATCTTGAAGCTTATGGAGTGGTTTGTAAGATCTACCCGCTGTGTTTCTAGTTCCAGTCTCCCAACGACTCACTCATGCTGATCCCTTCAATATTCTGTGTGTGATGGGAAATAAGTGGGCCTCTTGGGCTGTGTCCTGCATTGCTGGGAAACTTGGATGCTCACCACACTCTTATTCCCCTCCATGGAAAATAATGTAGCCCAAGGGTCTCTCTTGTCACTGAGTTGTGCTGCCTTGTGGGAAGGGTGACATAGGTACAGTGAAACTTTCTTGTCTTCTTTTGTGCATCTGTTCTCAGATTCCAGTGGTATGCTGGAATTTCTGTTTTCTATTCTTGTACTCCACAATGATATTCTCATCCTTGATAATAGACAAAATCAGTGTCTCTGTGGAGAGATGATAGTGAGAACTCCTATCCTGCCATCTTGCTGACATCACTTCTGTTTGTAGCTCTTCACATTCCTCTTAGCCTTTGTCTCTGAGCTCTGCTTGTCCATCCTTTTCCTTGAGCTCCAGTACAGCTCTGTCCTTCACTTCTGTAGTTCTCTTTCCGAAAGCAAGAATCTGCGGGGATCCTTAAATTAGTGGTGATTAGTGGAGGAGTCCTATGTTTAGTGTTTCTATCCTTGAATTCCATCTTATTTGAAATTACTTCTTATCTTCTTTGTTATGTTTTCCATGACATCTGTTTGCTTATCCCTTTATATTAAAATTTTTAGCATAAAATCTGATATGATTAATTATGTATTTTGCACTATTTAATTTGTACTTATTCCTAATTGTTATTTAATTATCAATTTCTTTTATTCATGTTATTACTAATGATGGGTCTCCTGGGTCATCTTTTATCATATTTGCCTTCCTCTTTGCTTGCTCTTTAGTGACAGTTTTTCCATGTGTTTTCTAGTCATTGAGTCATTTATCTTCAATGACCCCCCTACTTTCAATTCATCCCCTAAACTGTTCAGTGGTAGGACTGGGTTTCAGTTTGAAACCCAGATGAACACTGAATAATTTTTTAGTGTAAGTATATTGAAATTTAGCTTGGTACATAATATTATAAAATTATTCATATTTAATAGGGGCATCCTGTTTTTTTTTCTTATGAAGTCTCTTCAATTCTGGCAACTCTTATCAATGAAGAAATCATAATTTTATGAGGTCTGAACATTCTTTTTGTGTGTTGCATTTGAATCTCCTTAAGTGGTGTTATTTATTTGCTTGGTCAGGTTGTTCTCTGTTGCTTTTAGGACTATCATTTCACTGGCTAAGTGTTTTGTTTTTTTCTAATTGGTCATGCTTTTTATGGCTGATGAATTTCCTTTGAAGTGTTATTTTTAAAAATGGTCAGAGATCTGCCTGTTGCAGGACCCCAAGTGGAATCTGGCTTCAGAGTGGTGGAGACCATAGGTATCACAGGATGGGGTGCGTGTGTGGCAGAAGGTAGGCAACAGTCCCTTGCCAAGAGCCTAAGAAGGAGCCTCTCAGTGCTGAGGTGTGTTTGTGGTCTTCCAGCTTCACAGATGTGGAAGATTAAACCCACCTGTTCAGTATTTCTGTACTCTCTTGGGGATTGTGGATGCCAGACATAATCATACAGGACTGATTCTCTCACTTCAGGAATCCTCAAGTCTATATAGACCATTCTCTTTTTGCATATCTATCATTAGTAATTCCGACTTCAAGATTTTCAAATGATGGTCTCATGCCTGTCGCCCAGCTCTGTCGCTGGGACCCATTGCTTTCTACCTCCAGTCTGTCCAAGCAAGAAAATGGCTATCACAAAAAGAGGAATGAAGGGAAAGGTGGGCTTTGAGTGCATTGAAAGTCCTGAAAGATACAAGTTGCAAAAGAAATTAACTGTCAGATTGGTTGTCGTGAAATATTTGTTATAAATTAGAAAAAAATATTAAATTGAAAAGGATTTTGCTTTCAGAATGTGTGCAATTGTCTTTAAGTCCTCATTCCATTTTGAGGAAACCAAAAATGAAAATCAGAGAGAAGGCGTTTGGATATGATCTATGCGGAGAAGATAATGTAGATTCCTGTCCTATGCTGTCCAATACAGCACCCAAGTGCAACTGAAGCCAAATGAGGCTCATATGACTTTATAAGAAAAGGTGTAGACCATTTCGATTACCCTGGAGGATTCTACTAGTTAGCCCTGGGATCAGTTGTCCATACTCATGGGAGAATTCCTTGTGTCAATACTACAGACATTGGTTAACCAATGTGCATCTGTATATCTGACAGTAAAATGATGCAGTTAATGTGTTTATTACTTTAATGACACACTTGAACCTGGAGGACATTATGCTACATGAAATAATCCACATAAAGATAAATACCTCACTTACATGTGGAATCTAAAAAAGTCAAACTTGTAGACATAGAGAGTAGAACAGTGGTTACCAGGGGCTGGGGGTGGAGATGGAGGAGTGTATGGAGAGAGGTTGACCAAAGGGTACAAAATTTTAGTTAGATAGGAGGAACATATTTCTGAGATCTATTGTATAGCAAGGTGACCATAGTTAATGTATTGTATACCTAAAAATTGCTGAGGCTAAATTTTAAATGCCTTGTTATAAAAGTGACAGCCAATTGAAGTGATGAATATGTTAATTAATTTGATTTAACTCCATGTTGTATACATAAACCAAAACACTGTACCCCATTAATGTATATTTCATGATTTGTCAGTTAAAATCATAATAATTAAAAAAATTTTAAACAGTTGCCTGTTAGTCAAC